TATATACAGGTGTATAGGATATTATATATACATATACATACATATAAATGCATTACATTATAATAGTATTTGGTGCATATTGTTTAATATAAAAGTATTTATGCATGTGCTGTCTACAGCGGCTGTCTTCTCTGCATAGTGCAGATGAAATAGAAGAATTGTCAAACCCGTTTGAAACTCTTCTCTATTTAAAAACAAAAGGATGTATCACTCCAGTAAGCCCTTTATATTGCATGCATGCATGCATGCATGCATGCATTTAATGCATGCATGCATTTAATGCATGCATGCATATATTGAAGTGCATTTGATATTTGTCTCTACTTAAAAACAAAAATTCAAAACAAAAGGATATGTTAATCCATTACGTGTCTTTTCTTTTGTACTCTGCATGCATGCATGCATGCATGCATGCATGCAGAGGATTTACTGTGTTGCATGCATGCATGAGAATATAAATGCATGCATGCATGCATGCATGCAGAGGTGTACAATATTGCATGCATAATAAAATCTGCGTGCATTAATGCATACAAATATAAATGCATGCATGCATGCACCAAAGATAAATGCATGCATGCATGCAACAAAGACAAATGCATGCATGCATGCATGCATGCATGCATGCAATAAACGCATGCATGCATTTATTGCATGCATTAAATATGTGGATTTGTTTGTTTAGGAGTTTTTGCGGGGTTTGATTTTGTGGTGTCAGTCGGCAGTGCACAGACAGGCGACGCGGTAATTCTTCTTTTAATTCTTTTTAATTATTTGTTTGATTATTTTTAATTCTGTTTAATTCTTTTTAATTATTTGTTTAATTATTTTAATTATGTTTTATTATTTTTAATTGTTTATTATTCTTTTTTATTATTCTTCTTTATTCTTCATTATCTTTCTTTATTATTTATTATTCTTTTTTATTATTCTTTTTTATTTTTCTTTTTGTTCTTGTATGTTTTCATTCTTCTTTTTTTTTCTTTTTCTTTTTCTTTTTCTTATTTGTGCTTCTTTGCATGCATTTTATGCATGCATGCATGCATGCATGCATAAAATGCATGCATGCATGCATGCATAAAATGCATAATTTGAAAGCAGCAGCTTTGCATGCATGCTGCATTTCCTCCGGGTGCTCGTGCTGCTGCTGTTTTTGTTGTTGCTGCTTCTGCTATTGATGTTGCTGCTTTTGCTTCTGATGCTGCTGCTGATGCTGCTGCTGATGCTGCTGCTGCTGCTGCTGCTGCTGCTGCTGCTGCAGATCCCAGAAGCGGCCAACAGCAGAGGAGCTTTTGCTGCTGCATGATGCTTGTCGGTGAGGGTTTTGTTTATTATTCTTTTTATTTTATTTGTTGTTGTTTATTTTCTTGTGTGTCTTATTCTGTTTACTTTGTTTACTGTGTTTTATTTTTATTTATTTTGTTTATTTAATTTACGTTAGTTGATTTTATTTACTTCGTTTA